TTATCATTGACAAATAGCTCTGTAGTAATGATTTACACTATTAATACTCAGCTCATTAGACTTATAAGTAATGAATAACATTCATTTTTTTCAAGGTTAGGTGTTTTGTCTGTATTTATTTATGGGGTTTTTTTAATTTATTTTAAAATAATTTATTTATTAATGTCTTCTAGTTTTCACATGGATTAGCTGCTGGACATTTATGTGGTCAGAAAAATAATACAAACTATGGAATAACAGATCTTGGAAAAATGAATGAATGAGTGTAAATATAATAGCAAAACACTGCTGCTGGTTTCCAGGTTTACCTGAAAACAAATACTCTTAAATAATCTTTCCATTTCAAAATTCAGATATTATCTATTCAGATAGATGCAGTACATCTGTTAAACCCCACAAAACAAACACAGACCCTTTTTCACAACAGGTTGAAAAAGTGAGGACAGACCAAAAGGGTCTCACTTTCCAAAATGTCCTTACTGTAGTGGTCTACAATACCATCTGGTCCTCACTATGATAGCTGGACTAGCACACACACATACACACACACACACACACACGCTGCAAATCATATAATTACACTTGATTGAATGAGTTAAATACTTTTAACTGCTGTTGTCACAACGTAACTACTTTTAAGTGTTAGATTTTTTCCACATGGTTCCATTTTCATCTTCTAAATTTTTGCATATGAATTGATGATGAGAGCGTGTGTGCCTGTAGTCATCAGTCAGTCAAGAGATGTGGAGTCTGTGACCTCAGTGTACGACAGGCATTCCCAAACTCCACTCACATACACACGCATTTTAGTTTTTAAAGAAAGGTGCCAGCTTTCCAGTCTCGATAGACAGCCAGATTGATTATATATATAATCTTATTTGACAGGTGACACCTGATGGGGGTAGAGTACCGGCCACAATTTACCTGCCTCCCTATCTCCATTTCAGACGCACATGCAGGCATGTAGACAAGGGAGAAAATCAAATTTCCAGGCATTTTTACTGTGGGTCAGGTTGGCATTCAAATTCATTAATCTAGCATATGGGAGTCAGCTAGGGACACGTGGGGCGAGCCCTTGTAAGGAGATTACAACCCACACAGGTGCACCAGCACACAAAAAGGCACAGACAGACATAGACATACAATGGATACACATGCAAACGACGGGAGGCCAAAAACACATGTTGAGTAACATACATGTGACAGGGGCATTGTGTTGACATTGTTTAGGTCCATTTGTGAGTGGAACGGTCACTGCAACGCAAATGTGCCCACTTTTGTCCTAGAATGAAATCCTGGCGGGCGTGGTCTCAGCAACGTTCCCACTGATCAGTTGTGAGAGATGACTGGAATGGTCTGAGCAGTCAAATAATCTCAAATTAATGGAACAGACTTGAGATTTTGAAATGACATATTATCACCATTGTCAAAACACCAAATTAGAGAATCTTCTGGAAGAATCAAGCTGCATGAGAACTGAAAGCTCAACAACTTATTTCCTTTTTTTAAATGTGACAGTCGTCCATAGTCTGTCACATTCATTAGAACAAGAGCAAGTGAGAAATATAAGAAAACCTCTCTCTCTCTCACACAAACACACACATGAAGTGTCTCACACACACCAGCAACAGTCAAGAAGACAACGGCTAGCAGATAGATGGTCGCTAAGCAACAGGCAAAAGACTAAAAATATGGTCGCATTTCTTCATTCACTTAGAGAGCAGGCACACGCACAAACTCACACACACACGCAAACACTTTCAGTCGTCCTCCAGCAAGGCTTATCAACCTTTAAAAAGCCTACATTTCTAAATCCGTCCCAGTATTCCTGTGTTCCTGTGGCGTCAGCAGCACTATTATCCTGCCCACTCATTCGGAAACTGGCAACTGTTACTGAAGCTTAAGTCATTGAGAAAAAACAGAAAGAGTTTGGCCCTAGTAAGAGGCTGGCAGGGGCCACGGCAATGTGCAAGTCATGCCAAACATTGAAACACTGACCTGGGTCGTGGAGGGTTCAGGCCTGGGTTTCAACATATTATGTGCTGAGACCAAATAATTACAGATCATTATAGGGTGTGAATGTTAAATGTTAAAATGACCAGCCTCAGCCGTGAAATTCACAATTTTAGCCTCATACAAATATGACGAATTCAAGAGATTTTTAAAGTTGTCGTTTTTTTACTGGTAAGGCTTAAAGTTAGGGGCGTGGACCCTAACTTTAAGCCTTACCGTCTCAACCTATCAGGCAAATCTCAGTGTACAAACGCACATGTCCTAGTTTCACTGTGACTTGTCATTATATATTATATTTAGTGCTGTCAGCGTTAATCTTGTTAAAATGATGTTAACGCCATAACTGCATTAACGTGGCAAATCTCCGTTAGCGAGTTAGCGCGGATCGCCCCGTGCGTGGGGCTGGACAGCGCTAACGAGCTAACTGAGCTAACTGAGCTAACTCATTGTCAATGTGCAGCCCCACGCGTGGGGCAATTCGCGCTAACTCGCTAACGGAGATTTGCTAATGCGGTTATGGCGTTAACGTCATTTTAACAAGATTAACGCTGACAAACTATCAACAACCCACTGAATACTTCCAGTTCACATCTTCCCAATGTGGCAGTTTTCAGTAGAGTTGCCTTAGGTTGACTTAACATGACCTCAGCATCTGAAAGGCTGAAAACGTCTTGACCAACGCCAATTTTCTACCGGTGTTGGTACAGGACATGTCATCATGTTTAACTTCTGCAGAGCAATGTTAAATCTTTGCAGCTAAAAGGAATATGGCAGATGTCCAAACTCTATCATTGAAAGTGGGCTGGGGAAAATAGCTTTCCTTTATTTCCTGCAGCAAAAAGATGTACCATAGAAAGAGTGAAGGTGCAATGGATACAGGAATGTTTACCCCCATAGAGCAATGCCTGTTTGCACCAATCACCCACTTATCTTCCATTTCTACATCCACCGAACTTGGCGGGGCTGTATCAGAGGCGTGGATTGGTCACAAATTAAGGCGGCTTTGTCATGTCTGCATCTATATGGGCTGACAGCAGTGAGTGGGTTGTCCATATTTAACAATCAGGATGGCGGGCAGGTAAATTGTTGTTTTCGGTCCTATTCTTGTGTCAGTCAACAAACCAAAAAGCTAAATTATTGTTTATCTCAGGATGATTTTTCTTGAAGATCACCGTCAGCATGGTGGTTAGTTGAGAGAAAAATCGCCCACTTCCTGCAGAGTATCTCTTTCTATACTGTTTTCAACAAAGGGAAATTAGCATTTAATAATAATCTACACTGACAAGCCATATGCCATCCCTTCTGTCCAGTTTCGGTCCAGCCTCCGGGCAGGACCGGGCTATTAACACCGCATAATGCAGATCTGGGCTTTGACACTTTAAACAACAGACACGGATGACAAAACAGTTCACACGATACATGGCCTAATATTCTCGCTTTTAGCTATTCTGAATATCTTACTTTCACTTCCACGCACACCACGCCTGAGTTTCACAGAAAAAACATTTCACGAAAACATAATAAATAGCACAGTTTTACCCATAAAATATACCAGATCATTTACCACATATATCTGTAGTGTGAACATTTTTATGAAATTCTTGCCAGTTATTTTGTTTGTTTTGTTTTTTTTACAAACTACAACCAGCAGCTTGTAGACTGCACACTGAAAACGTGATCTGTGACTATTTTCTTCTATCTCATCTTTGGATAACACACACTTGTGATTTATATGTATATATATATATTTTTTTAATTTTTTGTTTAGATTACAAAGAAATGTCCCGACTGGAGCAGAACAGTCATGTGATATTTCAGAGCTGCCGTACATTTTCCCTCAAAGTGTCTCACTCTCCTCTGGTTTTATGTTCACACTCTTCTTGTTGCATTGGGTTTCCTTAAAAATGTCCTCTCGTTTCTCTTTGTTTCAGAGAAAAAAGTCCACGTGAGTCTTTCTTGAATACCTCCAGAGTTTTACTTACAGAGTGGGGCTTAAGATAGAGGGGATATCAATGACTTCTCACACACACATCAATGACAGTTTCTGTTATCATGTACAATTAGAAACACTGGCTGTAGTCATGGTTCTGATTTGTCGTCAACACCATCGTCGTCGTCGTCTCGCAGTCGATCCTTCGCTCCGATTCTTGTGTTGTTCATTGACGGCATCACAGAAGTCCCTGCTTGGCTCAAAGTTGTTCACATTATCCGTAGTTTAAAGTGTAAACAATGCACCTCACGATGTGTCGTGCACAATGCTTCTGTTCTTGTTGGTTCTTCCTCCCCACTTTAGAGATTTCTTCACTTGAATTTGTCTGGTCCATTATCAGATCACGCTGCATTTATACGGTTTTTCATTGTTGTTATTTTTTACAATTGCACGGTAACAACATCAACACGTGACGCCACTCAAAAGTTTAGTAAAAAGTGTGGGGATTTGGCATTAAACAGATGCCAAAATGAAACAGAAACTGGCTCAATTAAAAAGAGGGCAGGTCGGTCGGTGCTGACTACAACATTTCATCAACTTTAAGACTTTATTCCTACGGGGAAGATAAAAGTAAGGCAAGAGCAAGGGTCTGAGGAAAGTGTATGGTGTGTATGTGTGTGTTTGTGTGTGGAGGGACTATTTTGCACAGTGTACCGAGGAAGAAAAGAATAAAAAGACAAAAAAAATTAAAATGAAAGGTGGTCAGTTTTCATCTCGCCCGCAACTTGGTCCCCGCAACTGCAGAATCACCCAAGGGCCCCAAGAGTCTGTATATGTGAGTGTGTGTGTCTGTGTGCATTTGGTGGAAGAGGGATTAAAAGTGTGAAGTCGCTGTCAGTTTTAGAGCTCAAATGTTCAGACAGGAGCGTCCACTGATACAGTAAAGGTGGAAGGAGCAAACGAGTGACTATTACAGGGCAGTAAAAGATTTTTACCACATATTCTTGTTTATGCTATACACACTTTCTTCTTTCTCTATTTCTGTTTCTTCTTTTCTCATCTTTTCCATTTTTATATCTCACTTTAATCCTCACTCTCAACCTATTTTCTCTTCAGAAGCCAGCTGATCGTCTTTTCGTTCCAGCTGTCTTGGCAGTATATTAGGACAACATGAGCCTGTACACTTTGTTGTCAACTGCTGATTTTAGAAGCACCCTCAAAAGTCAGTTTTATACCTTTTTTCCTCGATGTTGCATTTTAATTTTATGTATTCGAGAGGTTTCCTCATAACTAGACCAGAGGGAGGGGCTTCCTGTCTAAAAGAGCTGCTAATGTAGAATAAATAATTATTAATTTGGACATTTGGCAAGTTTTACTGTTTATGAGGACTCACTCTCTGTTTTTCAGGACAGAGAGGAATGTAGGGAAAAAAGATATCTGATGAAAAACTAAAATAGTCTTTGGACGGATTTAAAGATTTCCTGAAAAGTCGGCCCATATCGATCCATCTCTTCTCCCTCTCTCAAGACTGCTGCATTGCTCTCTCTCTCTCTCTTTTCATATTGGCAGTGGGCCTCTCTCTCCCTCTGCTTTCCTCTCCATTTAAAACCCTGGTATATGGCAATAGGCCTCCAGGGAAGCCAGCATAATGTAAATCAGCCACAATGAGACAAACATCAGTGACGTTATTATTTTGCAAGTCCGCGGCCCACCCAGCTCGCCACCGGCGACTGTTGCCCGCCTCCGGTACAGAAGCGTGAGCACGCTCACCACAGCTAAGATAGTGAAGAGGGTGACAGAGAAGGCCAGACTTCCTGGGTCCACCTTGAAAGGTTTGCCCTTGGAGCGCCAGGCGATGGCAGCGATGGTCCATGCCACGCCGATGCCCAGAAAGACGTTAACCGCATTGGAGCCGGTGACGTTGCCGATGGAGGCGTCAGCGTACTGGTCCTGGATGGCAGCGACCTTGCTGGCAAATGTGTCTAGAAGAAAGAAAGAAAGGCTTTATTGTAAAACCCTTTTTTATGCTGCCTCATTTTTAGGGTTCTTTCTTCTACTACGTTCATCTTTTGAAAACCTCAGAGCAACCGCTTCAAACTACAATAGAAAAAAATCAATGTGAAAGATTACAACAAGGCATAAAAGCAAAGCATAGACCTAGCGTCAAAACAAGACAATGACACTGTGCCAACCAAAACTATGGAAATTACTTTAATTGAATAAATTTTAGATGTATTTTTGTGAAAAACCTGCTCACAGGCTGCTGCAAAAAGCTAAAGGTAACAACTGTTTTCCACTTAAAAACATACAGGTGAACATCATGTCATTCAAGAATGGAAAGAGAA